GGGGGGGGGGGGGGGGGAGGGGGGGGGGGGAGGGAACGAGAGAGACAGAGAGACAGAGAGGGAGGGGCAGCCGGCCACTACTGCAAGGTTTTTATGAAGGTCAACAAAGGTCAAGATATGGTTAAGGATTAACCCCGGGTTCGTACTAAGAGTTGGGTTTTATTTTGGGTTTTAAGTCTCATAGTTTGGGTTTGTTTGAGCAGCTGTGGAGTTCATGACTTTTTGTCTTAGACCTGATCCAGAGAGAGGTCACAGTCAAGAAAGGGAAACATGGGATTTTTTTGTTTTGTTTTTGTTTGTTTTTTGTGTGAGAGCAACGTCCTGCAATGAAAAAACAAACAAACGTATTGGATGGATGGATGGACGTGTGGATAGATGGATGAATGGTTGGATGGATAGATGAATGGATGGATGGATGATGGATGGATGGATAGGTGGATAGATGGATAGATGGATAGATGGAGGGATGGATGAATAAAAGGGTGGATAGATGGGTGGATGGATGATGGATGGATGGATGGAAGATGGATGGACGGGTGCATCGATGGATGGATGAATAAAAGGGGGGATAGATGGATGGATGGACGGGTGGATGGAGGGATGATGGATGGATGGATGGTAGATGGATGGACGGGTGGATGGATGGAGGGATAGATGGATAGATGGAGGGATGGATGAATAAAAGGGGGGATAGATGGTTGGTTGGGTGGGTGGTGGGATGGATGGATGGGTGGATGGATGGATGGGTGGGTGGATGGATGGAGGGATAGATGGATAGATGGATGAATGGATGGACGGAAGGACGGGTGGATGGATGGAGGGATGGATGAATAAAAGGGGGGATAGATGGTTGGTTGGGTGGGTGGTGGGATGGATGGTTGGATGGATAGATGGGTGGATGGATGGAGGGATGATGGATGGATGGATTGATGGATGATGGATGGATGGATGGATGAAACCGTCTCTTTTGTAACTCTTCATCTTGAGAAACACGTTCCCTGACAGAGAGTCTTTAAAAAACAGACAAACAAATAAACAAATAAAAAGTGTGTGTGTGTGCGTGTGTGTGTGTGTGTGTGTGTACAGTGTGATACAATAAAATACGATACAATAAACCTTATAAAGGCCCACAGGGAAATTTGCCTCCGACTCCAGTGCTGAATAACTCAGTGTTTGCCGTGTGTTTTCCTGAGCCTGGTTCCTAACTGTGCAGCTGTCTCTCACCCACGTCTACGTCGTCACTCCTGCCTCAGCCGTTATTTGGTGTTGATGTGTTGATGTGTTGCGTGCCGAGCAGCTGCAGACACTGGTTGTGTTTTATTAGGAAAATCACAGGCGTTAATGATCACAGTCACACTGGTTCTGTTCAGTTAATGTCGCCTGACAGCGATCTGATTATTTACACCTCACAAACGTACTGCTGCGGCTCAACACAAATCCAGGAGTCATCACTCCTGCTGCGCTAAGAACTCATTATTAGGTAAAAATGTCCACAAGAGTGCGCTAATGTGACTGGTATATGTGACGGGTAAGTAACAAAAAAAAAAGTCCAAAGACCAGATGATTTTATCGTCTGATTTTGATGGATAAAGTCCAAAGACAGATGTTTTTATTGTCTGATTTTGATGGATAAAACTTGAAAGGACACAACTCTCTGGTGAAAACATCATCTTTGAAACATTTTATATTCATATATTTGTCAAGTTGAGCTTTTTGAGAATTAAAAAAATGAATAATTTTGAAATTGTAGCAAAGCATTCAGTTGAACAATTTTGAAATTGTAGCAAAGCATTCAGTTGTAAACCAACCTTCAATGGAAACTTGGACTTGTTATTAAAACTTTGA